AAGGGGTGGGGTGGGGGAGAGGCCTGAGTTAGGCATGATTAAGAAGCGATGGAGAGAGATTGATTATTCAAAACACCAAGCCACAGGGACCCTCACACATCGATCCAGGTAGGATTGGGTCCAGCCTGCCCCATAAGATAACTGAGGGGGGGCGTTAAACCCGGGTACCACCATCCAGGAAAAGCAAAGATGCAGAGAAGGCAGCCGCAGCCTCCCCATCACCACCCCTCCTGCGAAGGAGCCAGTCAGCGGCAAGCACCTGTCCCAGAGTGAGGCCAGGCGCCCAAACTTCCAACGGGGAGGCGCCTCCCAGCGGGGCCTGGGCTGGGGCTCGGGCACTGGCCCCACCCAGATGCTTGGGCACCGGCCTGGCTCCTACCCGTGGTGACTGCTTTCCCAGTGCACCTAAGGCGGGCACCAGACCTGCTCACCGCCCACCCCCAGACTCTGTCCTGAGAACCCAGCAAGCAAGCTCGCGCTCTCTCCCTCCCTCTCCCTCTCCCCCTCTCCCTCCCTCCCTCCCTCTCTATCTATCTATATATCTCTATCTATCTATCTATCTATCTCTATTATCTCTATCTCTATTATCTCTATCTCTATCTCCATCTCTATCTCCCTTTCTCTCTCATTCCTGGCTTTTGGGGAGCAGGAAAAGGATGGGTTTGGCTAACACGCTAGTCCCAGGAGATTCTTAAAGTCCATTCAAATCTCTGCACTGGTGCTTTTTACATCCCCTCCCCACCCAAAAAAAGTTTAGGCATTCAGTCCACATTTCCCAATCGGATGTGTCTGAAATTCTCTTCGAACAAATCCCCAAATACAAGGTTTTTTTTCCTTGTGTAGAAATTAGCATCGCAATCACAGCAACGCTATCAGGTCTCTATGGGGAAGATCGCCGAGCAGTGGGGTGTTCTTTATGCCAATTCTTCGTGGATCAACTGATTATCCTCTGTCGTCTTTTGACCCCGTTATTGTAAGTCAAGTGATTCTTTCTAACTGACAGCCGGGACAAAGGGGCCGGCGAGGCTGAGCCGGGCCAGAGGAAGTGCCCATACGGACTCAGAGAAAAGGCACTTTCTCCCCAAGAGGATGGGGGGACAGTCGCCTTTGAGCCCTCTGCCCAGGAGACAGGGAGCTGGACCGGGTGCCTCGCCACCTTTCTGGGACCCCCCGTGGTGACCAACCAGTTTGCAACCACAGGGATGGGGCCGGCCAGG